TATGGAGTACAGAAGAATCAATTGACTACATCTGTGGTAAGAGGCAATGGAAAAGCTCAATATCTTCAGCCAAGGCAAAGCCAAGAGCTGACTGTGGAACAGACCATCAACTGCTCATATGCAAGTTCAAGATGAAGCTGAAGACAATTAAAACAACATTTGACCTTGATTATATCCCTCCTAATATTAGAGAGCATCTAAAGAATAAATTTGAGGCATTGAACACCAATGATCAAAAACCAGAGGAACTGCAGGATGACATCAAGAACATCACCCATGAAGAAAGCAAGAGGTCATTAAAAAGACAGGAAAGGAAAAAAAGACCAAAATGGATGTGAGAAGAGACTCCAAAACTTGCCTTTGAATGAAGAGTAGCTAAAGCAAATGGGAGAAATGACAAGATAAAAGAGCTAAACAGAAGATTTCAAAGAGCAGCTCAAGAAGACAAAGTCAATTGTTATAATAAAATGTGCAAAGACCTGGAGTTAAAAAGTGAAAAGGGAAGAACACATTTGGCATTTCTCAAGCTGAAAGAACTGAGGAAATCATTTAAGCCTTGAATTGCAATGCTGAAAGATTCCATGGGCAATATGTTGAATGATGCAGGAAACATCAAAACAAAATGGAAGGAATACACAGAGTCACTGCACCAAAAAGAATTGGTAGATGACCATCCATTTCAGGAAGTGACATATGATCAAGAACCAATGGTATTGAAGGAAAAAGCTGAAGCTGCACTGAAGGAATTGGTGAAGAACAAGGCTCCAGAAATTGACAGAGTACCCATTGAAATGTTTCAACAAATGGATGCCACACTGGAGGTCCTCACTTGGCTATGCCAAGAGATTTGGAAGACAGCTACCTGACCAACTGACTGGCAGAGATCCATATGTTTTTCCCCTTCCAAAGAAAGGTGATCCCACAGAATGTCGAAATCATCAAACAATATTGTTAATATCACATACAAATAAAGTCTTACTGAGGATAATTCAAAAATGGTTGCAGCAGTACATTAACAGAGAGCTTCCAGAAATGCAGGCTGGATTCAGAAGAGGACATGGTCATATTTTGGCTCTTGTGGATTTGCTTTAATTGTCTTCAGCTTCAACTTGAACTTTTACATGAGCTTGTACATGGTCTGTTCCACAGTCAGTTCCTGGCCTTGTTTTGACTGAAGATATCAAGCTTCTCCATTGTCTCTTTCCACAAATGGTATTGGTCTGATTCCTGTGTATTCCATCTGGTGAAGCCCACATGTATAGCTACCATTTGTGTTGCTGAAAAAAAAAGCATTTACATTGACTAAGTTGTTGGTCTTGTAAAATTCTATCATGCGATCTCTGGAGTCATTTCTATCACCAAGGCCATATTTTCCAACTACTGCTGATTCTTCTTTGTTTCCAACTATTGTATTCCAATCACGAGTAATAATCAACACATTTTGATGGCATGTTTGATCAATTTCAAACCGCAGAAGTTGGTAAAAAAAAACTTCAATTTCCTTGTCTTTGGCTTTGATGGTTGGTGTGTAAATTTGAATAATACTAGTATTAAGTGGTCTTACTTGTAAGCATATGGATATTATCCTAAAACTCACAGCATTGTTTTTCAGGATAGATCTTGAAATATTCTTTCTAACAATGAATGTCACAGCATTCGTTTTCAATTTTTCATTCCTAGTGTAGCAGATCATATGGTTGTCTGGTTCAAAATGGCCAAAACCAATCCATTTCAGCTCCCCAAATCCTAGTATATAGATCTTTATGTGTTTTATTTCATTTTTGACAACTTCCAATTTTCCTAGATTCATACTTCATACATTACATGAGTAATGGATGTTTGAAGCTGTTTCTTCTCAGTTTGAGTAGTGCCATATCAGTCAGTGGAGGTCCTGAAAACTTACTCCATCCACACCATTACGGTTGACTCTACTTTGAGGAAGTAGTTATTACTCAGTAGTATTTTGAGTGCTTTCTGACCAGAAGGGCTCATCTTCTGGCAATGTATCAGACAATATTTCAGGGCTGTTCATAAGGTTTTCCAGTAATGTATCAGACAATGTTCCACTGATGTTCATAAAGTTTTAATTGGCCAATTCTTTGACAAGTGGATGGCCCCTTCCTTCTTCTAAGTCTGTCTTAGTCAAGAAGCTCTGCTGAAACCTGTCTATTATGGATGACCCTACTGGCATTTGAAACACTGGTGGCATATCCTCCAGCTTCACAGCAACACATAAGCCACCACAGTATGACAAACTGATGGACAAGTGGTAGAATAGCATAATAGCAAACAATCTATGGGAGGATACTAAAGGTGATATGCAAGTTCAACAAGCATGTGTAGACAAACAGAACTAAACCCATGAGCATATATAGGTAGGCCAGAAGATATTTCTACATATGTATCTGTATGTATATCCATGTTTATAGCATGCTTAAAGCATATCCATGTTTATAGTATAAAAAAAAGCAGAGGGCAGAGTTATGAAAACTTCTTAGTCACAACCAAACATTTGGAGAGAATAAGGCACTAACATTGGGAGCTTAGGACCACAGTCTCAAGTGACAGTTAAGTCAATTGGTATAACATAGTTTACAAAGTAAGTGTTTTACATTCTATGTGGAAAGCAGCTACCGGAATCTTAAAAGCTAGTGAGTGGGCATCTAAGATACAACTATTATTCTCTCTGTGTCCAGAGCAAGGAAAAGTGAAAAAAATCAAAGACTCGAGGAAACAATTAGTCCAAAGGACTAGTGGACCACAAGAACCACAACCTCCTCTACTCTGAGACCAGAAGAACCAGCTGGTCCTGGCTACCATTACTGCTATGATTGGAACCACATAAGGTCCTGGAAAAAATGGGAGAAAAACAGAATAAAATTTCAAATAATAAAAAAGACCAGATTTACTGGTCCTGTAGAGACTGGTAAGATCTGTGACACTGTGGTCCTTAGACATCTGTCAAACTTGAAACTGAACCCACCCTTAGGGATCACTTTGCAGCCAAACAATAGACAGAACTATGCAGTGAACAATAACACTCATGAGAAACATATTCCTCAGAACAATTAACCACGCTAGACCAAAAGGTCAGCATTTGACCTAAAACAAAGTTCAGAAGTTAGGAAAGAACAGTAAGGAAAGACCAATGAATACAGAGGGCCCAGGGAGGAAGTGAGAAAAGTGCTTTTATATTGAAGGGATTGTAATTAATGATATGAAACAAAATGTGTATGGAATGTTGAATAGAAAACTAATTTACTCCATAAAATTTCACCCAGACCATACTCATTTTTAAAGTGTGTGTGTTAGTGTGCATGTGTGTGTGTTCAGATCCTTCTGTCTTCTGAACCCATTCCTGAAGAAAATAAGGTTTTGATTCAGCTTGTGACTGAAAGAAAAAAAAACTAAAAAAAAAAAAATTCTTGTTCAGAATGGGTGGTGTTAAGGATTTAAAATAAAAATATATTGACAATTTTATGAAACAACGAATATTTCCCCCTCAAAATTGCTGATATATACAATATTTGGCTCATAATTTGAATGATTATCCATGTAAACAAAAGGTCCATTTTAAGCAATGATTCTTGAGTACTTCCTGTGAGTTCAAGTTGTAGGATAAAAAATAAAATGGGGAGATTTCCTATTCCACTACCAAAATAAGTTGATTAAGACTACAAGATCATTTGGGAAATTATTAGCTGCAATTAGCAGAAATTGCAATTATCACTGAATTGAAGGGGATGAGGGTGTTTAAGCAAAACAATAGTGCAGAGTGTCAGACTTAAGGTAAGGCTTGACCCAGTGGTTCATTTGTGTCAGGAAATTCCATTTTCTTCCTACCTCTCCAGTGAGCTCTGGTAGCGTAGTACCTAAGGCACTTGACTGCTAACCAGAAGGCTGGCAGTTCAAACCCACCAGACACTCCTCGGAAGGAAGATGAGGCAATCTACTTCCATAGTGATACTGCCTTGGAAACCCAAGGAGGGGTCTCTATGAGTCGGGTCTGACTCGACAGCACATAACAACAACAACTCCAACTTGCTTTCCATTGTCCTAGTTCCATGTAAGGAGATCTAGTGGTATAGTGTCAAGACATTTGACTACTAACCAGAAAGCTGGCAGTTTAAACCAACCAGCCACTCCTCAGAAGGAAGACTGGGCAATCTACTACCACAGAGATACCCCGTTGGAAACCATAGGAGGGGTCACTATGAGTCGGAACCAACTCAGTGACAGTGAGTAAGCAGTAGTAGTAAGTTCCATATAAAGGGAAGCTTTAGCATGGATGCCAATAGATCCTGGGATTATAAATTCCTTATTCATATATGGTGCTCATTCCACACATTCCAGCAGGAATTCAGGGTCTCTCCTGGTTGTGGAGCTTTAGGGAATAATTATTCTTTGAGAGATCACTGCAGATCACTGCTATTAAGACAAGGCCTATTTCAAAGACTAAATTGCTCTCTGCATTTCATCCCTAGAACTGGGTTGAATCAGAATTCCCAAACTTGCCACAAAGCAAACAAATTCTGCCCTTAGGATATCAAGAGACCATGTGATGTGTCCATATGCTTGGACATCAGCATTACATCATCAGGTAAAACTGGTATATACAAGCAGGACCTTGAATAGGTCCTGAGGGCACAAATGAGTTACATGTGTAAGTAGCTTATGGAACATACACATACTGAATTGCTTCCCATCCCTCATTCTATACCAAAGCCTTGTGTGGATTCTTTTACGACAGGTGACTTAGGGAAAAAGAAAAATAAATTATAATATTAAGTCAAACAAAGAGCATACAAAAAGGACTAGGACATTTCCATTGATACGTTTTTGTAGTCTGTTTTCCTACATTTTATATTTGATCTATTATCATAACCTCATCCAACTTTAGTTTTGAATCAATTAATTTTTTGACACCTATTCAGATTTGGTGCTCTGTAAAGCCTAGAGCCCAGGTAGCTTCCCATATAAACCTGCCCCTTGATCCTGCCTCAGTCACAATTGAGTTCTTCAACATCTTCCTCTTCAACAGATTCAGAGAATGTGCTGTGCCTGCTCTCAGATAAATCACACATTTGGGCAGCTGGGCCACTCCAAGCACAGGTTTTTGTGCAGGGCTGCACCACTGTGGGAGGCAACTGTGTACCCTGATGACAGTAATAAGTTGCAACATCTTCAGTCTCCACCCTGCTGATTTTAAGAGTGAAATCTGTAACTGACCCACTGCCACTGAACCTCTCGGGGACCCCAGTGAACTGGTTAGAAATCTTATAGATCAGGAGCCGTGGAGCTTGGCCGGGTTTCTGCTGGTACCAGTGCAAATAGGTTTTTCCATCAGTATGTACGAGGCTCTGACTTGACTTGCAGGAGATAGTGGCCGGCTCTCCAAGCCTGATGGGCAGGGTGAGTGGAGTCTGTGTCATCACAATATCCCCACTGGATGCTAAAATAATGAGAGAGAAGTGCAAGGTTATGTGCAAACGATTTGAGCCATTTTCATGATTATCTTCTGTTTTTATTAATTTTTTGCTAAACTATCATTTCATTTTTCTGTCATTTTTTTTTTAAATTGCTTCTTCGTATCCCAAAGTATCTAGTTTGCCTACACCAACACACTATTTAGTTGTCACAGTTTTCACCAGAGAAAAAATACTGGCTCCTCACAATTCTTCCTCACATTTTCAAATAAAACAGTTGTATGTCTCTTTCTAAAGGACAAAATGTATCCATCTAATATGCTGACAGAATAGACCTTATGACCAACTATGCCATCAAAGGTCGCCCTTCCCACCCCTTCTTTTCATCTCCCCTCTGTCCTTACCAGGGATCCAAATCATTAATATCCCCAGGAGCTGAGTAGGGAACGTCATTTTGAGAAGTGGAATTGATGAATCCTGATCAGGAAAGGTAGATTAGAGCTCACTATTTATCTCACCAGCCACTCCTCAGAAGGAAGGTTGGGCAATCCTACTTCTGTAGTGACACTGCCTCGGAAACCTAAGGAGGGGTCGCTATGAGTCAGGTCTGACTCGATGGCACATAACAACAACAACAACAATTTATCTCACACTTTCAAAGAAGGTTCCTCCCCCAGGGAACGATATGCAAAGCCCATGGGTGCAACAGTGTGTGAAAAGAGCAAAGGGGAGAGTGTGCCTCGCCTGTGATCAAAGCAGCATAAAATGAATCTGTGTTTGGAGGAAAAGATAAAAAGTCATTTCTGCTCTCTTTAATGGTCACTGCCTATTGTGAAAAGCTGAATCTCTGGACAGCACATATTGCCCATGGCTCGGCCACTCTACGAAAGCATCAGATTCCCTGAAGATGTATAGATGGCTGTCCAGGGCCAATCCCTGGAAAGTTTGGTTCCCACTCTGGTAATCTAGAAAAATAAGCAGGTCCCATTCCCACGGTGCTAATCCATAGTATGTCTCCAAATGAGGGGCTGGACTTAAGAGTGTTAAAAATGTCTGATATCTGCTCTTACCAGGTAAACTGTCTCAAGTGTTAGATGCAGGTGATAGAACGAAACTGTCCTTTCCTGGAATCCAGTGAAGTGAACTCCAAAAAAGGTTTTCAAAGCAAAGCGTGACTGGGAGAAAAAAGCTGTCTCTTACAGATAGAAAACTGAAAGCTAAGTTTAAGGCAAGAGAAAAAGGGGAAATAATTTTATCTTTCAGAGTCTATATGAATTTCCAGTAAAAGAATTGTTACGATCTGGTGTATCATACTTATCTCTAGGTCTCTCTCTTTCTCTGTGTGTGTGTGCTGTATCTCCACCCTCAGTCTTTCTCATCATTTACAACCAGGCCTGTGAGGGACTTCGTTTTCTTCTTTCTGTGTGTGAAGCTATGTCTCTCACCTAGCCTATGTGTTGGGCAGCCTCACCCATGAGTCTACAGGTCAAAAGTAGACTCCACAGTTCCAGTAAGATGGGGAAATAGGCAGACAAACTACACAGACCCTCTTCCACAAAAAAAAGGGTAACCAATTCACACAAATACAGAAGATAATCCTGGAGCCCTGAGCTTTGAAAGGAAGAATGAAGAAGTAGACTAAACTCCAACTAGTAGAAGAACCTGCATGAAAACACTGAAAAAGGAGACATACAGAGCTGTACTCTGTCAGCAATCCTGACGGCACAGACAGCTTGGATATTGCCAGGTGGTGTTAGGACCTAAGAATTAACCTAAAAATCAGCCCTGGTAGCCATGCACAGAGAACTGCACTGGTGGCTGGTAAATAAAAGGAGAAGCATTGAAGAAGGAGACAAGCTGAGCCACAGACTTTTGTCTGTCTGGAGGGCACAGCCACTTTGAATGTTTACAAGCCTTTGACCATTTTGGATATTTAAAGCAACAGTGTCCTCTCAGGTTCCAGGGACCTTAGAATAGGTTCCACTTCCCTGGGACCCCAAGGACATTCTGGACACAAATGACTAGAAAGGCGCAATAATCCCCTTCTTACTCTTATACCCCACACCCTCTTGGTGAACGGAGGTGTGGCCATCCCTCACTCTCATCTGCCTTCTGGGCGGGCAGGAATTCTATCCCAGTGTGTGTGCTCAGACAGAGCCTGGGTGCCCGGCCCCACCTTGCCCAGATTTTTTTGTTGTTGTTCACTTAGTTTGCTTTTGTCTGTTTAAAAAAAAAAAAAATGTACTATTTATTATGATTCTTTATTTTTCCCCTTCGTAGGTTCTAGTTTTCAGCTTTATCTCTCTTACCTGTTTTGGGATTCCATTTTTTCCTTTCTCGTGGTTCTCTCCATTCCTTGTTTTTCTTTTTGCATTTTTCCCATTTCTTCCTTCATTATTCTCCTATTCTACCTCTTTTCTCTTATTGCCCCCTCCCCAGATATTGCTGGTTTGTTTTGTTTTCTTTTCTTTTCTGGTGATTGTTCCTGTGTGTTCATGTGGTATGTTTTTTGTCCACTTGCTTTTACTTTATTGAAGGTTTTTCAATTGTTGTTTTTGTCTAACTCAGTGGGAGACAGCAACCATGCCTATACAATGCAACCACACTCACACCTCCTGCAACCCCACTTACTGAGTGACAGCCAACCACTTCCTTCTCCACAGACTGGCAAATGATTAAAAAAAAAAAAAACACCAAGAAAAGCCTGACTCATCTTTAGCTGCTTGTCAAAAACAGTTAACAGAGATCTAAATACAACAATGTCACAATGTCTAGGAGACAACAGACCATCACAGTCCACACAAAGGAGCAAGATAAAGTGGTAGAAACAAGGGAGCAGGATACAGACCCAGAACACTTCCCTGAGGA